AATGAACAGTAATGTAACTAAACATCTTTAATTCGATGCCTCCATCTTCCTCATGGGACACTTGTTTCAAAATAATAATAGTGTATTTAGTGTCATTTTATAGAGGCCCATGAGAGTCACCTTGTTGCAGGCCTAGTCAGGTATGTCAGGTATATTTGATTTCGGAAACTTGCACTGATGCATGCAAAAATGAATGAGCGAATGAAAAAGATAAAACCAAAATTATGTACGTTTTTGAAGGAGAAACATTACAATAGCAAAACAGTTCATACTCATGCTTATTAACAGATCCAAAATATTATGTGTGTATATATATAAAACAGTAATAATCCCTGTTCTACAGTATTTCTATGACCCTCATTATGGTCTGGCTACAAAATGAGTATCAACAGTCCAGAAATGGCTTAAAGCAGGCAAAGTAACACAGTTTAGGTATATAAAGTAGTCAGGTATTGCCTCTGTGAGGTACACAACTGAAATAGATTTGATGATACAGGAACACATATATTAAAAGCTCTAAATTTCCCTTCATACTACCATTTCACATCCTAAATAATTAGCCCACCCTGCTACTAAATATGCTATCAGCACCACGTAGGAATTGCCAATGAATTATGTCAGCGCAGTAGCTCAACAGCAATTTTCCTTGGTGTACTTTGGCTCAGGATTCCTCAGAGGATAAGCATGTTCTGAAAAGGGTACATGTTCAGTGACATCAGGCAGAGAGGATGCTGTCTCCCCCCAGACTATCTGCACCAGCCACAGCGTTTTCTGTTTCTAAGCACTGAGACCCTTTTGTAAGAACATGGTGAACAATGCCAACTGTCATGGTGGGCTTTGCGTATCTGTTATGTACTAGTGATAACAGAAAGGGTTACACACTAACTAAGTGTGGTACAGTTTCCTCACTAGCCTATCTCAATTACTTCAGTCCATACATGGTACATGGGACAGCTCTAAACATACTTGATAGTTTTAGATAACTGATAACGGAATAATTCTTAATGTGTAATAATAAAAGTAGCTTTGGTACATTTCTTGAAAGTTAAATCCATGTGACCAGTACAAACAGCCTGTGACTGGAAGCCGTCAAGGTGATTTGAAATCTTCTTCATTTTTTAACGACTAACATCAAGGCTCTACTCAGTTTTAGCTAACAAGGAATTATGCTGGTTGTTGCATTGCCGTCTAACCTGAGGTTTACGTTTTCCTCTCCTGAGTTCAGAGATGACAGGTGCACACCTCTGTGCTTTCCATGTATTATCAAGTGTCACATGCCCAGTGTGTGACATTTACCTGACAGTCACTGTACAAAGACACACATTCCGTTTCCAACACCGCGTACGGGATGTTATTAGAAGCATTTTCTCTCAGGACACACAGCACATGAAAGGAAGTCTATGCTTCCTCAGACCTTGCTTCTGAGCACATGGGTCCCTGCAATTAGATCATGTTTTCAGAGTCATTGGGGTTAGAAGCATAAAGCCCTTGATCGTGAAGAAATAAACATTAATGTGTACTTTCTCATCTAAAAATTGGATTTGAGATGGGATAGTGATTTCTTTAGTGAGTGCTAGTTTCCTCTGCTCAAAATCTGCTCAAAACTCAGTGTCTACATGTCAGACAAGGCTCCAGCTAGAGGACAGGCTGGGAACTAGGAACTAAGTTGGAACTAAATGTACTTTTACAGTTGAAAGTATTTTGAGTAATTTCTGTGATTTTTATTTTCCACATAATATTTCCTCTTTGTCTGTAAGGAATTTCTTCAAAATATACCAGGCAGTGTGCTGACGTCTGGACTTTATGATGAATGGCTTGGTGTCCCTGACCAAGAGTGTGAAGAGAAGAAAAAGGTCGCGGCGCGGAGGTAATGATTTTATATCACAGAGTCATTTACTAAAAATGTTGACTGGCAACAAATGGCTTAAATTGTTCACAAACATAGAAGACATCGTGAAAAGAGAAGTATAATTTGGGGAGTCACAGTGGCTCACATTTTAAAAAACTCATCATTTTGTATATGTATATATATGTATATATATAGTATATTTATTAATTAAATTTCTCTATTTCTGACTTTGGGGAGATAGTCTAAGCAATATTTATAGGACACATTCCACTTTTCATTTGATTCTCAGAAAATCATGACTAAGATACAGATTATTACTCTGTTCCCTTTCTTCATATTTATAATTGTATGAGTAAAATTTATTGTTTCAAAATAACTTATCTCTGTGTTCAGTCTTTTAGAGCAACTACCCCAACCGAATGTCTTTCTTTTGAAAAAACTTTTCGGGATATTATACAAAATTGAGCAAAACTCTGAACTCAACCATATGACATCATCAAATTTAGCTGTTTGCATCGCCCTGAGTATTCTATGCCTGCCCGGTTCCTGCAACTCGGAACTGGCAGATGTCTCCAGAAAGGTAAGGAAACAAATATTTTATGCCTATGATAAACAAGTCTTCACAATGAGTCAGGAATACAGGAATATCCTGGAAGTCTGGGTTTTGTTCATTTGTTCATTTTTGTTTTGGTGTTGTTATGTTTTTTTAAATAAATGCACCCTTGATTGAGAAGAATCGTTTGCGTATCTTGAGTCAGGAGACTTTCAATGGATATTAATATCTCAGTCCTTTGTCAATTGTGATTTAGAATATTGTTAGACTACACCACTAAGTGCTAGCGTTCTGAAATGATAAGAAAACATGGGTGCTGGGTTCAGAAATCAAGGCTAAATCCTTGGTGTCATCACTGAGGCAGGTGGGAATTTCTCTTTGTTTTCAAGGTGGTTTCCCAAGTAAATAAAGGTAATATGGATTGCTTTCCTCAGTTCATATTTCTCAGAATATGGTTGTTCTAGGATCTGGTTAGTGTGATTAAATAAATCCTCAGCCTTTTGTTGCTAATTTTGGTTGGATTAGAGAAATTCTTGAGTACACTTTTCTATTGTAGGCACCTTTCAAATACTATAATAAAATAGCAGGATTTATTCAGTATAAAGATCAAATGGTTATTTTGACTCTCGGGATTTGAGTTTCTGATTCACTATTGATTGAGCAATTGCTCTTTGGCCTTTAAGAAATACATTAAAGAAAGGCCTCATTGATGTTGGTTGTTTTTACTCTTTGCTCTTTTACTTTTTGTTCTTTGAGCTTTGAGGGACGTGCCACCCGGCTTCCAAATCAATCCACATGAAGTCCTATTCTTTCTTATGAGTGCCATGTCTTAGTTTTTCTTGTTTCTAATCAACTTTCCTTAACTTAAATTATCCATCCTCCTTTAGCCTCCGGGCTTTAAACTTTGTCATATAAACCTTTCTTTGCTTCTTACTCCCTGGCTTGCTGTGTAGCTGGGTAGCTGGGACTTAGAGTTCCCTTCCCTTACTTGTTCCTAGATATTGCTCCTCCCATATTTCTCCTTCTATTTATTTTCTCTGACTTCCAGTCTCCCATCCCTTCTCCTTGCTCACTGTTGGACGTTCAGCTCTTTAGTAGACCAATCAGGCGTTTTAAACAGGCACAGTGACACAGCCTCACAGTTTAAAAATGCAATATAAAGGAATGCAACCCATCTTTGCATTACCAAACAAATATTCCATAACCTAAACAAATATAACACATTATAAAATAATAATCAACAACACCTGACTCAGAACATCATTTCCTCATATTGTATAGCATCAATGAATGGAAGAGAAAGTTGGGATCCAAACAACCTGCCATTGCAGACCCACAATTATTTAATATCAGCCAAACAGGCCTTGCATCAACTATCCTTCATTGTAATAAACCTGCATATAAAGCTGTTAGCATTTCATCTGCACTGAACAAACAAGAGACCCATGAAAGCTTCCCTTCATTTTTAGACACCCAATCGAACGTTCAACACATGGTGCCCTCACTCAAGGTTGGTCTTCCTCCTTAACTGTGCCTTTCTGGAAGCATCCTTACAAACATGCTCAGCCATGTCTGTCACAAATAAAAGGATTTTAAACAAGTTTACAATGTATACTACCTATCACATGGGGAACACGGGAAATCATCCCCGTATGGTATTGCACTGTGATGATTACATTTTAACATCTGGCCGTAAAATATTTTCATTTTTCTAACAGAAAACTCCCCTCTATTTTATAGAAGGTGACTTTTTCTCAGAATGTTGAGGTACAAACTTTTAGCCTCAAGGCTAAAATGAGATTTACAACCATGCAAAAGGTCAGAGATCTCTGTGTTTGCCTCCTTTGGTCACAGATTTCTCTGGTCGGTTTCCTAACTGAGAATTATCCAAAAATATTTGGAGAAGGCCATCCAGTTCATCATGAGAGCCCATCGGTTTACTCTGATGGGGAGAACACTTACAATGCCTTTACCACACAAACTGACAAAATTGTGATGGAAGAGAATGAGTGTGAAGAAGACCCCTGCCCCAGGGGCAGTACATGCCCCACAGGCAATGATGTAGAGCCCGGAAGTCCAACTGCTCCTTGTCACAATGAATGAACATAGGTAAGTATAGATGTTCTATTATCACAACTTAAAAGTTAAGACTCATTTACACCTGAAAACATCCTTTTCAAGAGGCAGCAATTGGGAGTTTACTAAAACCATTGTAGAGGGAAAATTACCTGTACATTATAAGTGTTCTCCTGTTGATAGGAACTGTCTGTAAATTTTCATCCCTTATTCATAGCAGTCCTGAATTTATGTAAGAGGTGACTCCTCGAAGGGGCAAGTGTACTATTAATAAGAGTATGTGAAGAAATGTCACTTACCTTGACTTCTGAACTGATTTTTCCAATACTCAGCCACTCAATTTTGCCATCAGGGTATCTCTGTGTAACGGCCCTGGCTATCTTGAAACTTGCTTTGTAGACCAGGCTGGCCATAAACTCAAAGAGATATTCTTAACTCTGACTCCTGAGAACTGGAATTAAAGGTATATACCACTATGCCTGTCTCTTTTGCAAGTTTTAATATAGCATATTACACCCATGAGAGAAGTAGACACTATGGTCTCTAATTGAATCTCATAGGTGTTCAAGGGGGAAAAACTAAAGACTGTCAGAGAAATGCAGTCAGGCAGGGTATGTGAGGATGTGCAGATTTGGCTGTTAAATTAGAGCTGTCTGTGGCTTATCAGCCAAAAAATAACACAGGAAGACTCAGAGATTGTATACTATATCACTGCTTGATTCTAACACCCATATATGCATAGGTTTCAAGACAAATGCCAGAATTTACTGATTAGACCCAGGAGTACGAGCAATATAAAACTAAAAATCATGTTCGTTGTGATGCAGTCTCACTATAAATGTTATAATATTGGTTGTTTTCTATGTATTATGGTGATGCAGCAAGTATGACTGCTATTAAATGAATGGGGCATTGCAAGGGTTAAGTGAGTTTAATTATAACATACAGTGATTTCTCTTCTTTTTAGATTCTGTGGAACATATGAAAACAACCTTTATGAATCTAATGATTACACTGAGCTCTGATGCCAGCAAGGACAATGTGTGTTTAACCCCACCGGTTCCAACTGAGGAGTACCCCATTCAAAGTTTTCACACATCACCAGCACCAATTGAGGAAAACCTCATTGGAAGTACTGACACCCTATCTCCACCACCAAATGAGGAACACCTGTAATTGGAGGATTCCTATCTCGCCTGCCTGTTTCCAAATTCCTGGCAGCCATTTAGCAAATTTACGTCACAGAGGCTTCTGTTAATTATAAATGCTTGGCCGATAGCTCAGGCTTGTTACTAACTAACCTTTATATTTGCATTAACTCATTTCTATTGATATGTGTATTGCTATGAGGCTCACGCTTTACTTGTCTTCTAGTATGACTCGCTTCCTGAACCACTGGCTAGCATCTCTCTGTTTGGCTTTCTCACTTAAATTTCTTCCCAGCTACCGGCCTTTTAGCTTTTTATTAACCAATGAGAATAATATATATTCATACTTTAGGAAAGAATTGTTCCACAGCATTCCCCTTGTTTGTTTAATTAAAAATGAAGGTTTTTAACCTTAATATAATACTATATACCACAAAACAGTTAATAAGTAAAAATGATCATATCAATATCCATTCCATTTGCATTTGACAAAATTAGAGAAAATATTTAATTATCTATCTTATCTTGGCGAGTCTAAAGTTTTGTATCTAATTTACTTTCTATTATAACTAAGAAAATGTCCAATTATAACTATTTAGTCTTCAACTCCGTCAAAGAACCCAGGGGGTGAAATGTTACCCAATGACAGGGACATCAGACTGCCTGGACAGTCACCCAAAGTTCCACTGTAACGTTGGGACATCCAAATCTGCCCTAAAAGCCTAGCCTAACTGACAGACTTTCCTGTGCAGCAGGAAATCTTGAAGGACGGTCCAACCTAATCTTGTCAAAGTTCATCATCACCTTTCTTGTATCCTGCTAGTTCAGTTTGGAGTGTAACCATCAGCAATTGAGGCAAGGGTAGTTTCTTTTTCACATGGTTAGCTCTTGCCTAAGAAACAAACTCCGTATGGAATTTCTTCAGTGCCCATCATTTTCTCTATATTAGTTGGTGCCAGAAGAAGACTATTTCTTACTATTGAGAAAAGTTTTGAAAACTTGTTAAATGCCATATGGCATATTCTTTATGTGTTTGACGTGTTTGAAGACTGCCTATCTATCTGAAATATATCTACGTCCTTGAAAACCTGCCTGACATGACTATATATTTGCTATTATAGATGATTATTAATCCATATTTCTTAGTTATATATTAGTTTTAAAATGAGATGCATAAACGTAATACCATAAACTAGATTATAAATATACATACAGTATAATAAAATTTGTATCAATAAACCAAAGTCCATACTAATGTAAAATATGTGAGATTGACAGTAGTATTTTGGATTAAAGGAGATTCTATAATCTACCTTTCATCCTATAATTTCTCTTTTCCCTTTTTTTTTATTTTAAGAAAAAGATTCCTCAATCTAATCTCCTTTGCTTAACTTTTTTTCCTGACAATTCTCCATAACAAGTTGTATCTAACCCCTTTAAATGATAACAAACATTTATAATTTATTTTTGGAAATGTGGGAGTATGTCTCTAGAATACTTTTTGCTAGTTGATGTGCTGGCATTTCTGAGGGATCCATACATATTTTAGTATTATTGTCAAGTCCTTAGTATTATTGTCAAACCTAAAAAAAAGGATATTAGATTCAAGGTTCTTGCTTTGAAATGAAATCAAATATAGATATGAACCTATCTTGAAAAGAAAAAAGGGAGGATCTAGGTATGATAAGAATAAGTGGATTATTGAATCTATTCTAAAAGAAAAAGATATGATAAGATAAAAAAGTAGATTATTGAATTTACTTTTAAAAAACAACTATTACTTTTAAATGTTTTACATTGGTTTGGACTTTTGTATATTGTATACAAATTTTGTATATTGATACAAATTTGAGATTAATTTTGTTAAAACATACTGCAAATACATTTCTAATCTTGTTTAACATTGTAGCTATTCATCTCATTTGACGATGTGATGCAAATTTCTAGTCCTTGAAAATTGTTGTTACTGTTTAGGATAAGAAGGAAATACTGGTCAGTAGTTAATCACCTAGTATAATCAAGCTTGTAGTCACCTTAGGTATGTTTTCAAGGTCAAAAAGGATTGATTTTATATAGCTCATTTATATAATTCTAGAGAATATGGCATTTAAGGATGATTTAATAACCTATGAGCTTCTTTTTATGACAATGAGACATGTCTGCTCCTGGCAGCACCAATCTACTTCAGGGAAGATAATGGGCATTGAAGAAACTCCACATGGAATTTACATTCTTTGTGGCAAAATTATTAAACCCCTGGGCAAGAAAATGGCCTTGTCTTGACTGCTGATATTATGCACATTATGCTGTCCAAGTCAGACAAGTAGGACACTAGAGAAAGTGACTGCCAAATAATGTCAAGTCAAGGATGGACAGTCCTTCAAAATGTCCTGCTTCACAGAGAGATCTGTTAGATATGCTAGGCCTGGAGGCCATGGAGAGAGACAGCCCAGTGTTGCAGAGGAACTTTGGGTGACTGTCCAGACAGCTAGCTGTTTCTTTCATTACTCACAGAATGTAGTAGCATTTCATTTGTATTTTAATAAATAAAGCTTGCCTGAAGATCACAGAGTCAAACAACCCCACTGATCAGCCTTACAGACCAGGAAGTGGTAATACACACCATTAATGCCAGTAGCTACACTAGTTTACCATAGGAACAGGGTGGTATATAACTTTAATCCCAGTGGTGCATGCCTTTAATCTCATTGGTTAATGATTTTAACCCAGTCTGAGAGACAATTATAAAATGGGGGGAGACAGCTCTCATGTTTTATCTCAATCTGAGATTCTCGGAAGCAGGATTGTCATTTAAGAATGATGCCGGGCTAAGAGCCAGTGGCTAGGTGTTTTACTTTTCTGACCTTCAGGTTGAACCCGAATTTCTCTCTATAAGTTTCTATTAATTTTGCTTCAGAGGTATTTCAGGGGATCTACATCAATTAAACCTGATTTTTCTTAACCCAGAGTGAATCCACAGCCTGTCATTTCCTGTAGAAGCAAACACATAACCTCTCCCCCAAAGTAACATATCTTTTGACTTAAATTTTTAAGTCAAGATAATAAAATATATATGTTGGTTTAGTATAGCTGTTTTCATAATCCAAGGTCTCTTAGAAGCCAAAAAACTTAAAAACAGCAGAATAATTTGCACAATCCAGATTATGTATCTGTGCATTTTCCATCTTCATGTATTTTAGTATATATTTTATTACTCTGTTTCATTTTAAGGACTTTCCTTACCCATTTTCTTTTCCCTCACAGGCCAACAAATATTTTTAAACAGATTGCAATCTGTGTAGAGGGTTCTTCTTTTGCCTGAATGTGTCCTTACTGCTCATCTGTAATCTTTTCTATCTGCATGAGCAAAAACCAAAACAGAACAAAACAAAAATGCTATGTAATTTATACCGTGGCAGCCTGGTGCTGGCTACTCCATATCGATTCCCTGAGAGTCTAGTCTCATGGCAGAGGCTTATTTATCCGAAGCTCTGAGAGCCATGTTTACCGCCCCAACTCTGGAAAGTTTCTAGTTTCATGCCCACACCAAGTAGAATGCTGTTCAGAAACACCAAAGAAGTGTTTGGTGGCAGGACCTCTTAAAAGAGCTGCCTGTGTTTGCCGCTAGCATGGAGCCCGAGGGCTGCATTTTAAAGGAGCTGTACCTCTGCTCACGGCCAACAACCAGAGCTTACTGGAGAAAAAGCAGCTACCAAGAGCACATGCTTGACTCTATTCTTGTGTGTGTAGAATCACTTTTTAAACTTTATCAGGTTTTATGTGGAAATACAGAGTACATGTTGGAACGCCATATGTATCTGGTTGTTTCTTATTCCTACTGCCTTTTCCCAAATACCCGGCAACTGCTTCTCAAATTAACACACAGAGGCTTATATTAATTATAAATGCTGGTTGATGACTCAGGCTTGTTACTATCAATTTCTTAAAACTTAAATTATCTCGTTTCTATTAATCTGCATATTGGCAAGGAGCTGGTGGCTTTACATATCCTCTAGCATGTCATGTTCCCTCTTCTCTCTCTGTCCTCATTCTTCCCAAAATTCTCAGTTCGGTTTTCCACCTAACTTCTTGCCCAGCTACCGGCCTGGCAGTTTAATTCACCAGAGAGAGTAATACATATTCATAGTGTAGGAAAGGATTGCTCCACAGTCTACACCTGAAAGGAAATTCAGCCACCCCTAATTGCACCAAACGAGGAACACCTCACAGCAAATTCTAACATCCAGTCACCACTCATAAAGAGACAGCTCTTCGGAACATCTCTCCTGAGAGTTTGTGAAGATGGGAATCCGCCTACCCCCAAACTGGTGAGTTTCTCTTTGGGTTTCTACAGCTCTCTGTCACCATTGAAAATACACCTTTACCTTTACTGTGCGGCATCCATTTGAGCACTCTACCTAGTGTCAGGAATTTATGCGGCATGTGAACCACTTTATCATGTAAGAAACATGATAATTATTGCCCATGCCTTGCTTATTTTACAAGATTTTCTGATAACAATGGTCGTAATCATTGCAAATTTGATCATAGTGAAACTATTAGAAGGTCATGTACGGTAGTCATTTTTATATTAGTGAAATCATCGATGAGGGACTGAAATTCCCTTGGGTTCTTGGCTGTGGCAGAATCTTATGCCATTTATAGCTGAAAATAAGAAATCAAAGACATAAAGGAAGTGTTAACGAGCTAAAACTTTCTTTAAAACACAGAAATTAAGACTCATGACATGTCAGGTCACACAGATGCACGCCTGTTCCACCTTGACTAAAAGTCAGAGTTTGAGCTTATTCTTGCTCTCGCCAAGTTGTTAACACAGGTGTGGCTACAATTAGAGATCCTGACCTAGAGTGTGGTTCATTAGTATTTTGAGTATAAAGGTAGATCCGTCCCACCTTGACAAAGGATCAGAGAGTTTAAGACTATTCCTGAACCTTCAAGGAGCTTGGCAGGAGTTAAGGGAGTAGCTGCCTACAAGACCCTTGATTTATTTCTGATGTCCTGTTAATGAAGTCTGTTGCCTCCACCATTCCATTTTGGGGTGGAAGCATGTGGAATATAAACTTGGGCAGATTCAGTATTCACTAAGTTCCCCTCCTGGTACTATACTATGTCTCTGTATTTCTTTTGTTTGTCTGTCTATTCTGCCTAATATTTTAAATACACACACCCCTACCCTGGAACATACGAAACTGTTGAGGCTGCACCCTGACAATAACAGAGTCCAGGACAGACAGAAATTAATAATAATAATTGGAGCACTGGAAGGGACATATACCAATAGTAACTGAGAATGGCATGCTTGGGATGGATGGATAGTCATAGACGAGAAGGCAAAATTAAGAGGGGACCATTCATTGAAGTGCTTAGGAAACAGAAGTGTGATTCGATGCAGAGATACCACTGATTCAAAACAACAGCAACAAAAAGCCACTGATGTTTCAAGTTTGGAAAATTCAATTAGAGAAGAAAATATATTTGGAAGGTAAAATAAATCCAAAAAATGAAAGGACGAAAAATTCATAATATTTATTTCACCCTGTTGTAGCTCTGCACCCATGCCTGCCATTGCTATGGTGTGCAACAAGAGACACACTAATGCTTCAAAAGTGTGGCTCCACACTTATAAAAGCTTGTCTTTGTCTTACACAGGACATGCTCTCTACTACTGATGAAAAGGGATCATATGCGGAGAAAATCTTCAGAACGATAGCCAACAAATCCTTCTGAACTCTCAAAGGAAAGCTTTGTGCTGTTGATGAAGTAAGCTCGAGCGAGCAATCTGTCCTGGTTGCAGCATCGGTCTTAAAGTATTAGCATCCTCCACATGGTGCATCCCTCTAGAGATGCCTAAGTCCTTTCCTTCCTTGACATAAACTGATGCTGATAGTTTCTTGCTATGTGATGACCTAAGAATCAGAGGCGTGGTAGGTAAGATGTCTGAAAAGCTGAAGGATTCATCACAAAGACACAGTTGAAAACCTTCTGTTAGAAGGTAACTTTTCCATATGTTAGATATGCTTTGGTTTGTCATTGCAAATGACCCTTGGATTTCACCTCTGACACCAGCATGTGAGGTTATAACAAAACAAGTAGTAATAGTGGAAAAAGTGTGATTTACAAATCATGTCTTAAAACATGATTACCATATATAGATATAGATAGATAGATAGATAGCCTTAAAAAATAACAACAGTTCAAAATGTTTAGTTCACTGATGACCTGTAATGGGTACATAGAGTGTTGGATTTTGTCCTCTGTCCAGTACATACATGAAATTTTTTCCTTCTCTACTAAAACATAAACAAGTACTTCCACAGTTACCAGATAAGGACACCTTAATCCCATGTCAGATGATGAAGAATTTGCCTAATCTACTCATGGATAGTCTATCACATTGAATTTGCCATGGAGCTGTCTATAACAGTGGCTCTAGAGCAAATACCATTGGTATATTGTTACTCTGACTTCTTCTGAGTTAACCACTCCATAGACTCTGGAGCTGTGGCACCAGACGTCAAAGAGTGATAAAATTTACCAGAATCAAAATTTGCTGCCGTTCAAAATCAAGTATGTGGTTAACACAAGTGTTATTGTTATACTGTTAAAAAATAAGGTATATTGTTAGCACCGTGTAGAGTTGAGATGAAGTTCACAGCTCATTTTCTTGGTTTGATAATATTTGTCTCACTGATTTGAACAAATATACTCAAAAACTAATGTTTACTGAATTGATGTGAATCTGTAATCTAACAATGTCTGTATCAAGATGACAGTTTATATTTCATTTAGCAGTGAGCAACAGAACAACATCTGCATCTAGTACCATGGAAGGCCATAGTGTTCTATAGAACCAGAAACTGGAGGATGAAGACCAAATCAGCATCTGGATTGGCCATTCTATCTTCCTGCCCATGATTTTCTCAGTAACTGGAGACTTGAATCCTCTGAACTCCACCGGGCTACATCTATCACTTTCTATATTATTGCACTGAAAACTATTTTTGGAAATTACTTAGAGCATTTAACAGAATTTGTTTAAATCTTCTGCTTTTGTCCAGAATTGAGAATTCTTTTCAAAGATCTTGAACATCACCATTAACCAGCAGAGAAACCCAGAGGGCTGCTCTTGGAGTATGGATTTAGCCTTGAGTAAGAACTTCTCAGGTTCCAACTCATTCCATTTGAGGGCTCTTTTCCACCTTCCACTTATCCATAGGTCAGAAAAGCTTATTATATGACATTCCTTCTGTTCATCTATTTTGCCATATGATATCAGTTACAAATATTTTTTCAGTTACATTAATTTTATGCTGTATATACACATTCTTTATTGTTGTAATAAACGTCATTCAATAATGTCATATCTTAGACTTGTTCATAGTTGTCCCTAGTCTTTGGAGGATGCCATCTGGCAGTCTTCTCTACATCAGTGACTTGGGGACCTGCAGTTATGTGGCAGAGTCATTAGAATCAAATTATTAGTCTTTTCTTCTGAACTCCTGATGTGGGAGAATTGTCTGTTCTGTCAATCATATTTTAATAAAATGCTGATTGGCCAGGCAGGCAGTATAGGTGGGAAAACCAGACAGGAAGTAGAGGTGATGCAAAGAGAACAGGAGAATTCTGGGAAGCAGAGAAGTTCCTCAGCGACTCCTGCGCAGACCACCGAAGAGGCAGCATGTAACGTGCCCAGCTGAGAAAGGTACGGAGCCATTATGGCTAACATAGATGAGAATAATGGGTTAATATAAGTTATAAGAGTTAACAAGAAGCCTGACCTAATGGGCCAATCAGTTTATAATCTTATGGAGTCTTGTGCGTGATTTTCTTTGGGGCCTGCCTGCTGTGGGGTACTGGGCAGGACAGATACCCCAACAAGCCGGCCCCACATACTACAAACTCCCATCACATGAAGGGATTTCTGAAACTGTATTCATCTATCATCCCTTCAAGTTTCATACTTAGTTTAGTAGCTTTGACAGTACTGTTTACAAAAGTAATATCCTGCTCTTCTTAACTGAGTCAATCTTACATTTTACGCTGGAATGAGTTGATAAGAAAAGTTTTAATTTACCTGGAGATATTACTCATGCTCTTTTTTTAAATTTTTGACATTATAATTTAATTACAAGATATCTTCCATTTCATTCCCACAAATCCTCCCATATACCCCTCACCACTCTCCTTAACATTCATTTTTTACTAAGTGCTATTTCATGCATGTATGTATAGGTAAATACATAGCTATTCCTAAACGTTAACTGTCCAGTCAGTTTAATGTTACTTGTATGTATGTTTTCAGGGATGACCCCTTGATACAGGACAACCAATTGGTGTGTTCTTCTCTGGGGATGACCACCCCTCCCTGTTCCAGTCTTCCTTCATCGCCTTTGTTTCTTTGTATAGAGTTCAGGCCTCCGGGACTTTTGCCCACTCATTTTCTCATATTCATGGGTGTTGTCCTTGATCAGCTAATGTGTAAACAGTCATGTCGGTGAGGCTTTATGGGTAAGGCTCAGGGATCATTGCAGATGCAAAGAGCAAACTCCTAAGGATCAGGTAGTCTCCTCTGAGATAGTTTTCCTAGGAATTTGAGAAGCTTTATAATTTTTACCAAGCTGCAAAAGGATAGAATCAAAATGATATTTTATAGCCTGTTAATTTTTACTATATTAATCTTGCCGATTCTTGAGCATGGGAGAATCTTTTCATCTTCTGTTATCTTGTTCAGTTTCTTTCCTCAATGTCTTAAAAGTTATGATCACACAAATCTTTCACTTCTTGATTAGAGTTACCCCAAGATATTTTACATTTTTGAGTTGATTGTGAAGAATGGTGGTGTTTCTCCGATGTCCTTCTCAGTAAATTTGTCGTTTGTATACAGGGAGGCTATTGCTTTTTGTATGTTAATTTTGTATCTGGCTACTTGCTGAAAGAGTTTACCAGCTGAAAGTTTCCTTTTAGAACTTAGGCTCACTGATGTACACTGCCACATAATCTACAAATAAAGATACTTTGATGTTTTCATTTTCAGTGTGTATCCTCTTGATCGCCTTCACTCATCTTATTGATCTAATTAGATTACAAGTGCTATACTAAAAAGGCATGAGCTTATTGAATATCCTTGTTTCTGATTTTAATAAAAATGTTTTTACTCTCTAGAATAATGTTGGTCGCAAGCTTGCTATAAATTATATCTATTGTGTTAAAGCATGTCCCTGGTAGTCTTAGTCTCTCTAAGAGTTTTCATTATGTAGTGATGTTGAATTTTGTCTAAGACCTTTCCTGTATAATTATAAGGACTTTGTTTTTAGTGTGTTTATGTGGTAGATTGTGTTTATTGGTGTATGTTTGATAATTCCTACATCCCTGGGATGCAGCCAGGTTGATCATTGTGAATAACTTTTTTGATGTGTTCTTGAATTAATTTGCGAATATTGCATTTGGAATTTCTGCAGTTACATTCAGAAGGGTATTGGTCTACAAATTTATTTTTTCTTGAGTATCAATGTAATTTTTATATCAAATTAATGGTGACTTAGTAAAAAGTCAGAAAATTTGTCCTTCAGTTTAACATTTGAGAAATAACTTGAGGCAGTTTGGCAAAGACTCTTTCTTTAAGGTCTGGTGTCATTCTATGCCAAATCAATCTAGTTCCGGATGTTTGGCATTGAGGATTTTTTAATTACTGCTTCTATTTCACTAAGGATAATGTATCTGTTTAAATGGTTGACTTTATTTTCTTTAAAGTTGATGAATCATCTATATCAAGAAAATCATCCATTTTATTTAGGTTTCCCATGCTGGTGAAATACAGATTTTCAATGCATGTCCTTATGATTCTGGAATATCCTCAGGATCTTCTGTAAAGTCATTCCTTTTATATCTAATTTCATTAATTTGGATAATCTCACTCAGTTTTTGGTTAATTTGGCTATGCTTTCCCCAAACCTGTTGATTTCTCTGATGGACCAACTTTTCATTTCATTTAATCTTTGTTTTTTTTTTCCTTTTTTTAACATGTTGTGGTTATTTGTTTCTATCTCAACGATTTCATCCCTGAATTTTATTATTTATTTTCATAGATTTGCCTTTGGACTAAAAAAAATGAAATGGGTGTTAAAAATTTTTTTTTTTTTTTTTTTTTTTTTTTTTTTTAAGTGAATTTAAATGCACTTTATTTTTAGACAACCTACATGACATGTTTTTTCTTTAAAGAAAAAAAGGAAAAAAGAAAAAAACAATGTCTCCACTCCAGATAAATCATGGTCAAAATAAGAGCTCAAGGTGACATCAGTCCCATTTGTCCTAAGTCCTGGTGTTGTATGAATGGGAAGCAGCAGCCGGTTATGGTGACAGGTGATAGATCCAATTTGTTAACATTTCTCCATCTCTAAGCCATCCTTGAAGAAAATCATGTATGGAGTCACGCCATCTTCACGGTAGTCCAGGAGAGCAACCATGCCATCTGGATTCATGTTCTCACCAATAAAAAACTGGTAGTTATTGAAATTAGCAAGGATGTGCTTAATTTGCTCTGCAGCCCCAGTCATAAAAGGCTTTACTCTTTCTGGTTTCTGTTCTTCAAGTTTGCCTTTGAGTGATTTCATGTAATCTTTGATGTACTTTTTGTAGGCCTCTTTTGTGAAGCTGGTTTCTTGTAAGTGGTGGTTCATGACAATGTCAACACCAGTGACTACTGTGCTTTCGGTACCTTCGCCCTCTGGGCCTTCAGCGGAAGCATTCCCACCAATGAGCGAGTCATCGATGTTACCCTCTGTTCTACTGACCATCTTGCCCTCCACCTCGAGGCA